AGCAAAACCCCTTGTTCCTTCCTATTATTGCTTATACTCTCTCTACAACAAAATTAGAGATAAGGGCAAAATAGTTTCTGCTGGGTATTGAGGGAGAGGGAGGGGGCTGGGTGGGTTGTAAGGGAGGGGTTTGGGGCAGGGGGGAGAAAAGACCCAAGCATTGTATGCACATATGAATAATAAAAAAATAAAAAAAAAAGAAGGTACAGCCACTGTGAGAAAAAAAAAAAGTATCATGCCACTTACTCAGAGGACATCAACTCTGAAAATTCAAAGTAGCACATTGACTGAATGGGAATTATTTAGCACTGAGTGGAAAATTCATAACTCAAATCATGTTAAGTCAGAAACCAGGTAGATTTTGAATTTGTATTTTTAGTTTGCCAGTAATCCCAGAAAAAGATGTAACCCTGTAGCCATGTCTCACTTCTTTTCCGGATTTCTTTCTTTTTGCTTAAGGACTGTTAATCTGTTTTATACCATGAACACCTTTGGAAGTTGGAAGCCTATAGTCTCTTTTAAATGTTAAAAATAAATACACAGGATTGCAAGTAGACAAATTTTATTGAAATATAGTTATTAAAATACTTAAAACTCAATTTTTTAATATAAAAATTATATATACGATTCCTTAAAGAGGTATGAAATAATAAAATGTCAGGGACAACTGTTCTATACCCACCTGTTTTCAAGTGGTAATGATGTAAATAGTGTTTTCAGATCCGTGACAACTATAACGTGATGTCAAAATGTCCATGGTTTTGATTGGTGACAAATGTGTTCTTAACAGCTTTACCTCCAGTCTTCTCCAACCAGACTCTTTTTTTTTTAAAGAAGAAATTTGATCATGAACCTGTCCTTGAAAATTGTCTGGTAAATTCTCATTGGCCACAGGATAATACCCAGATTCATAAGATTAATATACAAAATAGTTCAGTCTGTCTTGTGTCTTAGCAATCTCCTATCTTATAGTATAAACTACATTAAATAAGTTTCACTTACCTGAATAACCCCATGTTTCATTCATCTGTCCTGTGCGCTTATTGCCTCTGTTTAGGATAGCTTTCCTGGCTACTCAGGAGGTAGAGATCAGGAGGGTTGTAGTTCCAGGTCAGCCTATCCAAAAAGTTAGTGAGACCCCATCTGAATAAAACAGGCCAGGTATTGTGGACATTTCTGTAATACCAGTTACCCTGGAGGCATAATCATGGGCCTAGGCCAGTCAAGACAAAGAAAATAGGAGACCCTATCTGAAAAAACCCCTAAAATAGAAAGGAATGGTGGCATGGCTCCTGTGGTAGAGCACTGGCTTAACAAGTACAAGGCCCTGAGTTCAAACCCCATTATCACCAAAAAAGAAAAGAAAAAGGAGAAAGAATCCCTTTCCTTTTCTTGTCTACATTCAGAGTCATTCCCACCCTTTTAAAAATCTTTCTTTTGGCAGTTTTTTCCTTCCATAATATTTTGCAGTTATTTCTTCTCTCCTATGTTAAACATAAAAATTTTAGGACTGCAATTCTCAGTGTAATGATTTTCTAGCGCACAAAACCTCGCTTTACAAGTTTTGCATTATAATCTTTCCCAATGCATCAGGAATTTTGGTATGTGAAATAGAAAAATGTGTCTGAATTTTTTTCTGTGACTTTATTGCTGGTTATATATTTAACCAGTGATATGTATTATATATATTTAATGTTCATGAAAGGTTTACACAGTGGGTCCAGATTATGCTCACGCAGAAGCTCGGAAATCTCCAGCACTTGATGGCAAGGTAGAGAGAGATAGTGAAGGAAAAGAAGTGAGATACCCTGTTATTCTCAATGCACGAGAAAAATTAATTGCTTGGAAAGTCTGCCTTGCTTTTAAGGTAAGATGTTATACAAGCCATATAGGCTCTTGTAATAGGAATTCTAATTTTCTTTTTTGAATAAGAGACATTATTTGGACTTATAATTAAGAAAAGTAAGATGAGAAAGTAAGTAGTACATATGAACTCTTCATGTATTTTTCAGGAGGTGCTTGTAGTGCTAATATATTGTGTTTTTGTAGTACTAAGATATTGCTTCTGTATTACATAAGAAGAAGCCTTATTAATTTATTCAGAAATTACAGTTACAGAATAACTCAGTTAACTAGCATTTACGTGTATTGCCTAATCTATTTTTATTTTTATTTGAAATTATCATCTCATTTTATTCTTTTTCTTTTTGTTTTGCTGGGGGTACATTGTGCCATTTACAAAAGCTCTTACAATGTATCATAGTTGAATTCATCCCCTCCATCACTCTCCTTTATCCTCCCCTTCCCCATTCCTGAAATAGTTTTAACAGGTCTTATTTTAAATACTGTTTCTAAGTATTACTTATTTTCATGGAATTGATTTAAAAAAAAAAATCCTTAGTGTTCCCTCATTGGCTATCAGTCCTTTGGCTCAATCTATGATAAAATGTGTTCATGAAATTTATAATTTGTGACATTTGACTGTCAGGTTTTTATCTTATTTACAGTATAGTAAAGGTTTAAATAGAAGTAGTATAACCTGCATTAAATAAAGGATAGATTTTATCTTTCTTGGAATCCTGTCTTCAATCTATAACTTAAAGACTAGTGTATATTACCATTTACTAAATAACAAAGAAATATTTGTGTGTTAACAATAATTTGAAGTCTCTTGTGTCAGAATTCCAAAATGGAAAATTATATTATACCAATATATGATGATTTGAACTTAAAATATAGAAGATAAAAATGTTCTTACAGCCTGAGCAGGAAATTTATACTTTTCAGTGATTTTCTTCTTCAGATAAAACAAATGTATTTCAGGTGCTCACAAAATAAGGTGGTCAGGGTTTTTAAAGACTTGTAGTGGTGATGGACAGTTCCTTTGGGATGTGGCCTTAAATTAATTTTCTTTTTTGGGGGGGAACAAGTAAAATTATTTTTATTTCTGCAAGTGTGAAATTTATGTGAACTTTAAAATATTTGCTGTTTAAAATGTAAATGTTGAAGAACTTTTTGATACACTATGTTCTTTTTTTGGCTGCTAATAATCCCTTATGCATTATCATTCTACATCTGCTACACGATAAAGTACTTAAATAATCTTATGGAAATATGTGTTCAAGTACAAATAAGTAATTTCTTACTTTTTATGGAGTAAACCAATATATAATAATATACTTTTAGGTGTGTATGAAATATGGTATGATCTAATAAGACTGGAAAACCAAAGCATAATTTGAATGAAACCTTAAAGTTTATAACTTATTTTAAATAGCAAACAGTTTGTGGCTTTGATTTGTTACGGGCCAATGGACAATCCTATGTCTGTGATGTCAATGGATTCAGTTTTGTGAAAAATTCCATGAAGTATTATGATGATTGTGCAAAAATACTTGGGTAAGAATTTATTAATCTCTTTTTTTTTTACGTTTGCATAATCATTAAACCATGAAGGTTTAATTCAGTATCATTTTACTGTTCATAAAATGATAACCACCAAAGACTGCCAGGCCCTGAATTATACTTTTGCTTATCACAGACAGTAAATGAATGATCAGTAAAAAGGAAGGGCTGAAGTTTTTAATTTCATAGGTCTATAAGTGCTATAACATGGTGATTATTAAACAGAACATTCCTCTGTTTTTCCTATATATTTGGTCTACTTAGTGGTACAAAATTAACATTTGTGAACTAAGTAACCTGAACCTGAACCTGAACCTGAGTAAAATAGAGATTTTTTTAAACTCAGGATTCTTTTGAATGACAATTTTTTCTACATGTGTACCTTACTTGAAGGTGTTCTCATAACACTGTCAAATGAATGTAAAAGACATTATTACATATAGAAATGCCATTTTTATATTCTCTGACCTGCAAGGACTATTTGTAAGAAACTTTAAAGTGTATATGTCAAAGCCATAAGAAATTTAATACAAAGATATTTAATAATTGGAGTTAGTTATTATAGTATGTTTCAAAGATTTTTGAACTTAAAGTAAAATTGAGGGGAGTTCACTAAACCTTAACATGATAAATGCTAAATTTAAACAGAACCAAAAAGCATAGTTATTTAAATATGCCTTCATTGTTCCCCATACTTGTAAAGTATAGTAGAGATTTGTTAAAAATTAATGTATCTAGAATAGCTTTGTATGGGCTGGGGCTATAGCTCAGTGTTAGAGTGTCTGCTTAGCATGCTCAAAGGCCCTTCATTTGATCTCCAGCAACCCTCAAATGCGCACAGTAGCTTCACAGGTATTTAATAAACTGATAATGGCTTTAAAAAAAAAAAGACAATTTTGGATTTCAGTATGTGTTTAATTAGAAATGTATCATGGTTTATTTAAATATAGTATGCTTTATATTTTAAAACTAAATTCCAAATGGGGGGCATTTCATTGGACCACCCTGATACTTCGATTTAGAATTACTTTCCTAATTTTTCTTGGTTAGGTTGATTCTTTGAGTTAATTTTTATGTAATGTAGTTCCTAAGTATTTTGACTTATAAAAGTCTAAGTTGTTTGACATCTATGGGTCTCTACCATAGCATCTTTAAATACCCAGTTTTACTTGAACAAAATTTAAATGTTTTTCTTTTGATTTTGAAGAAATACTGTAATGCGAGAGCTTGCTCCACAATTTCATATCCCCTGGTCGATACCCTTAGAAGCGGAAGATATTCCAATTGTACCAACTACATCTGGAACTATGTAAGTCTGAATTACTTTTGTTAAAAAAATTCCTTGAGTTTTCCACATCAGTCTGGGCTATGATAATAAAAATTCAGTTTCTAAATGATTATTAAATAGTTTACTTATGTGTGCTTTCATATGAGTCAGCTTGAAGTAGAGAAACAGATTATATGTTTTTATAAGGGTATACTAAATTAAAGCTCTTACATTGTTATAAATAAAATCCTGAAACATCAAGCCATAACAATAAAAGAGGAGCCAATAGGTATATCACTCAAAGGTTCACAGTGGTCATACAACTTTGGCCCTTTCAAGTTATATCTTGAGGTACATTTATTAGACCAATGTTTCCAAAGTCTTTCATAACACTCCAGTAAGGCAAATTACTTATTAAAAGTCAGGTGAGTTGACTGAATGCTTCATATTCACAGCCTAGAGATTTATATTGACATGTTCAATATTCTGAGAAGTCCTGATTGGGAGGAAGAACTATTTAATTTTCTTTTTAAACCAGCATTTTCCAAAGTCGTTTAACATAAACTTTTTTCCAGATGATTTAACTAGCAGCATTTTTGTCTTCTAGTAATTTGAGTTTAATTACTTGGTTTTTGTACATACACAAAATATAGCAAATGTATAAATATAGCAACTGGTGAAGCTTTATTTTGTTTTGATTTAATGAAATTTCAATCTTTAATGGTGTAATGGTACACAGCAGATATTTAATACAGTTCAGGAGTCAGAGTCCATTTACTTTTATCCCAGAGTTTATGCTCTCTGACATCTTTAAAGAAAAGGAAATATTTATAATTTTAATATTACCCTCTTTGGCATCTGTAATTCTTTTTAGGAGTTGATTTCATAAAACTAAGACTCAGTTGTTGTAAGTAGTACTCTTCATAGGGAACGTCTTGAAATGGAATAAGAGGGCCTTAAATAAATGATTGGATGCTATTTGTTTTATACAACAGAAATCTTTGCTAGAGAATTGAGAGCTTTTTTTTTTTCATTTTAGGATGGAACTTAGATGTGTCATAGCTGTCATACGTCATGGGGATCGAACACCAAAACAAAAAATGAAAATGGAAGTGAGACATCAAAAGTATGTTTCAAGAGAATAATTTAACATTCATAATTTTAAAATTTTTGATGAGTTAAGCTCTTTTGATTAATGCATCAAATAGAAAAACTTTTACCTCCTATTTCTTGGACATTGATATTTAAACCACTGAATGCATACATTTAAATGGATTAGGTTGATACCTGAAAATTATCATGGCAGTATCCATAAATTATCAATGTTTTCTGACTTTCATTTATTGTTATAAAAGTATTCTATTGCATTCTGAGAATTATTAACTTCCTCAATTTTCTAGAAGAAAAGTAGTGGAAATATTCTATTATTTCTATTCAGGGTTTAATCTGGAAATGACAAACTTTGAAAACCTCAGCCATTAAATATATGTTAACAAAAGTTATTTTTTAACATGTATTCACTGACTTCAGAGAATATAAAAATATTTTGTATTTAATCCATGTTCAGGTTCCACAGTGAGAAAGCTTTTAAAAGTAGTGTTGTAACTATTAATTTGATGTGGTTTAGCAAAGTATTAAGTTTTATTGGTAAAAGTAAAGGAGCAAAGGTGTGTATAGTGGGGTTCCATGAGTCCCAACTACTTGTGAAGCTGAGGCAGGAGATCACTTCAGCCAGGGAGTTGAGGCCAGTCTAGGCAATAAATAGCAAGATCCTGTCTGGTCAGTAGAGGAGCAATAAGGTATAGTGAAAGAGGAAACATGGTACTTAAAATCTATAGGATTTTTCACTTCTATCACCATGTTTATTACTTTATTAGTTTAAATATTTGGTGATAATATTGATTATTACAAGTGACTAACAGTGCCCTATTATTTTTATAAGATTCTTTGATCTTTTTGAGAAGTGTGATGGATATAAATCAGGGAAGTTAAAACTGAAGAAGCCAAAACAATTGCAGGCAAGTCCATTTGCTTTCATGTTGAGTTTTAAATTTTTAATGGTGATATTAAATAGAAATTCAAATCTTTCATTAACATACTTTATAGGAAGTGCTAGATATTGCGCGACAACTTCTAACGGAGCTGGGACAAAATAATGATTCTGAAATTGAAGAAAACAAGCCAAAACTTGAACAACTTAAAACTGTACTAGAAATGTGAGTATTTTTTTGAAATTCTTGATTATGATAACTGCTTATAATTCTCCTTTTTTGTGTGTGATTTTCTATTTTAATTTCTTCCATTTGATCTTTTTGCTCTTTATCATTATAGCTGAAATGAAGTGAAAATCTAATTTGACAAAATAGATTTTTATATTGTTTTATTTTACTTTTAATTTCAGTAGGAAGATTGAAAGTGACATGATATTTGGATCTTACATGGAGTACTGCTTAGAATAAAGGCTATATTATTACTAACTTGACCCCTGATTCAGTGCTGTTTAAATAAAAAAGTTTTAAACTACATTTTAATCAAGTAAAGGTGATACCCACCCAACATTCCCATTAAAAGCTTTACATATCTAACCACTTAAAACCTTATATCCTTTATTATTTAACGATATACACATTTGTATTTTTGCATATTTCTGTACCTTGTCATTCCTTTAGAATTGTGTAACTTTTGTTTTAAAAAAAGTTTTTATGTTTTGTTTTCAATGGGTTAGAATGACTACCTGTAGTACTAATTTTCTGCTAGGATATTTCAGAGTTCACCAAGGTATTTACAAGTAGAAGGTAGTATTAATATGTGAGAATTAATTTTTCCTCTATGTAGATTTTAGGTCTTTTTAGAGGGTCACATCAGTACTTCATGAATATTGTCCATTGTGCTTGCCATTTTATTTTTCAGGTATGGCCATTTTTCTGGAATAAATCGTAAGGTCCAATTGACCTATCTCCCTCACGGTTGTCCTAAAACATCTAGTGAAGAAGAAGGTATGTCATTCTTAATGCCATTATGTTTTACAGTATGTGTAGTAACTCACTATACATTGTTGATTACCTTTGGATCTTCTGCTTAATAGCTTTGGGACTGGCATGCTGAATGAAAAATAAATAAAGTGGACTTTTGTTAACTATGCCACGTCTATGTTATGTTATATAACTTTGTGTAGGAGGCAAGCTTTTATGGTATAGGATTTTCATTTGTGGTATCACGTCGGCACTGAAAAAGCATTAGATTTTAGAGTATTTTGAATTTTAGATTTCTAGATTAGGTTTACACAACCTGTAATAATCTCTTTTGCCTATCTGTTGTTAGACTGGTAATAAAGAATGCTGATGAGAATGCACTATGACAGGATTTTATTCTGCTGGTAGAAGTATAAATTGAGATACATTTTAAAAAGTAATTTGACAATGTATTTTAAAAACTTAAAAAAAATGTTCCTCTGCTTTGACCTTAATTCTGCTTGTAAGAATCTGTCCTAAGTAAGTAATCAAGTGTTCAGAGAAAGATTGATCAGAGGGATATACTTAGTGTAATTATTATAGTAACAAATATTGAAGTAATGATTATGTTAAGCATAAATATAAGTTTGAACATGTTGGTCTTTATGTATTTACTTTAACATTTGATATATTGAATTTATCACATCTTGATTAAGAGAACCGCAGATTAATTTCCTATTCAATGTTTATAATCAAAAACTTCCTGCAAACAAATATAACTATTCTTCCATAAATTAATCTTCCTGCCTGCATAGTAATGCATCTGTATAGCTACTTACTATTCTCAGGGGAAAGGTTGATCTATCCCTTTAAATGAGTTATTAGTAATTCTTTTAGTGCTTATAATGTTTATTTTAAATGATCTTTATTTCTGAAACCCAACAGACACAGATCTTAAAGCTTTACAGGTATAGGCAACAGCACCTAGCCACACAATTCTAAACTTTAAAAGGTGTTCTTGCCTAGGTTTCACTGTTTGCATAAAATCTATTAGATTGCATAAAATTTGAATTTAATAAATGTTAGGTTATCATCTCACATCTTCCTAAATGTCGTGTAAATAACTGCTAATCATGAAAACATATATATCTTCTTCACTTCAGCTAATATATTTTGTTTCATGTGGTAGTGCTGCCAGAAGGTACTTGATGTAGATAGCTGAGATCTGAACTCTGGTCTCAGAAAGCTCACAATCTAGCAGACAAAGAGCAATAAGTTAACTATATTGGGCAAATCACCATGAGATTGGGGAAGGAGAAGTGATACTTTGTGCAGAATATTGGGAGTCTTCTTCCTAAGTATGAAAGATTTTTTGAAATTTCACAAAGATTTTCACAGGTAGAACAAAGGTCATTCCTGATGGAAGCAATAGCTTACAAAGATAGGTACATTTAGAGAATAAAATCTACTGCAGAGGAGAGCACAGAGAAAAAATTAATACTGAGGCATGTCTGTTTAAAGAAACAATCTTAACATTTGTTTTATCCATTCATGTGTATTAGATAGTCGAAGAGAAGAGCCATCCTTACTTTTGGTTCTAAAATGGGGAGGAGAATTAACACCTGCAGGCAGGGTCCAGGCTGAAGAACTTGGAAGAGCTTTTAGGTGTATGTATCCTGGAGGTCAAGGTAAATCTTGGAATTTCTTGAATTAAATTAATTAAATTCACACATTTCAAATTGTCATTTACTATGTGATGTTATTAAATGTAGAAATACAATGAAATAAAAATATAGCTTAAGTGATTTGAGGATTTCTTTTCAGGAGATTATGCAGGATTTCCTGGTTGTGGTTTACTTCGATTGCACAGCACCTACCGACATGACCTCAAGATATATGCCTCTGATGAAGGACGAGTCCAGATGACTGCAGCTGCTTTTGCAAAGGTATTAAAAAATGGTTTGTAAAATTATTAGCATTTTTTATCAAATAGTTTTAAAGCCCTTTCTTAAAGCAATATTTAAAAATTCAAAATTTGCAACTTCTAACTAAAGCCATTGATACTGATGAACTACATTATTAATAGTTTATTTGTTGTAAATAGTTAGGTTGTATATTATGAAATTCAGGATATAGCAAGATTATCCTATTATTTTGCATCTTTTTAAATTGTTGCCTTTTTTTGATATGTTTAGGGGCTATTGGCTCTAGAAGGAGAGCTCACACCTATTCTTGTCCAGATGGTCAAAAGTGCAAACATGAATGGTCTTTTGGATAGTGATAGTGACTCTTTGAGCAGTTGTCAACAACGTGTGAAAGCAAGACTTCATGAAATACTTCAGAAAGACAGAGATTTTACTGCTGAAGATTATGAAAAGGTGGGTCTTAGCAAACTCATTGGAAAATATTGTATGCAGAAAAGTACATAAAACAACTGTAGCACTTGTACTATAACAAAAATACTTATGTACTCATTAGGTAGAGAAATAGAATATTGGAACAACTCTGTCCTGTCTCTCCCTCCCTTTCCAGTTACAACCTGTTCCTATATCCTAGAAATAACTACTAACCTGACTTTCGGTTGTTCTTTTTCATATCCCCAATACTTAACAGAATTAATCTGCATGTCTAACTATTGCAGTCTCATTTAATTGACAAAGATTGTACATATTTATGTTGTACAACATAGTAGTTTGAAATGTGTATATTATGAAGTGGGTAAAACAAGCTAATTAACATATGCTTTGCCCCATGTACTTGTCATTTTGTGTAGTGAGAACACTTCACAATTCTGTTAAGGATTTTCAAGGGTAAAATATGTTTCTGTTAGCTACAGTCACCATATTATATAATAAATCTTTTTGAAGTTATTAGCTGTAGTCACCATATTATGCAGTAGATCTCCTGTTTAACTGAAATATTGTTTTTTTTTGACCAACACCTGTTCTCTGCCTAGCCCCTGGTAACTACCTTTCTACTTTATGGTTGTATGAGTTCAACTTTTTTAGATTTTTAGATCTCACATAAATGAGATTATGCTTAATTGTATTTTCTGTGCCTGGTTTATTTTGCTTACTGTAATGTCCTCCAGGTTCATTCAAAATGTTGCAAATGACAGGATTTCCTTCTTTTTTAAGACCAAATAATGTTTTTGTGTTTTAATGTCGTATTTTGTTTATCCATTCATCTGCTGACAGACAATTAGGATGAGTCCATATTTTTGCTGTTGTGAACAGTGCTGGGGTGAATATGAAAGTGTGATGCTTCTTCAATATACTTATTTTTTTTTCCTTAGATATATACCTAGAAGTGGGATTGTTGGATCATATGGTAGTTATATTTTTAGTTTTTTTTTGTAACTTCCATGCTGTTTTCCATAATGGCTGTATTAATTTACTTATGCTATTTTTCCTTAAAGCTTGTTATAATAGAATATATTTTCTTTTATATCTGATTTCTTTTGCTCAATATTGTTTGTGAAATTCATCCATATTGTTGGTGTGTCCATAGTTAATTAATAATCATTACTGTGTAGTATTCTGTTTCAGGTACTGGCAGATTTTTTTATGAAAAATATCAGGTGGTTAGACTTTGTGGGCCAAGTAGGGTCTCTAATGTATGTTCTTTTTTGGACTACCTTTTAAAAATGTAAAAACCATACTTAGCTCATGGGCTATCCTACAGGCCACATTTGACCTTAAGACAGTAGTTTGTTGACCCGTATTCTACTTTATGAGCATTCTGCACTTTTTATTTGCCTTACACTATTGTTACAAATTTGGTTCATTATGATTATCTAATGTATG